CTTCTTATCAAATTTTGGAAAATTATTTTTACGCCTGATGCTTTGTTTCAATTTTTCCCAAATCAACTCGATGGGATTGAAAACACAAAAATATGGGGGAAGTCTCAGTACGGTGTGTCCATACTTTTCAGCAATACTATCAAGGGTATCACTTTTTTAAATGTTTTTGTCTCTAAAACTTCAAGTAGTTGATTTTTGATATAGTTATCTTCAAAATACAAATTGTTATCCATTGAAAATCTTTCCTCGAATTTTTATTCGGTACTTTGATGAGCAGTCGCGAATGATAGGAAACGTTGTCGAAAACTATTACACCATTCGCATCCAAATTTGGGATCAATGTATTTTCAAATCATTTCTCAAAAATATTAGCTTCCATGTTCTTATGATAGTCAACATTGCAGTCCTCAAGTTTTTTTCCACATAATTTAGGCGTACACATTTTCGAACCATCAGTCCACCCTTTCGTAACTGTGTCGTGAGTGTCATAACAAGTTTCGTCCAAATAGAAAATTTGCCGTTGTTCTTGTCTATATTCAGTTATTTGTTCTAAGTATTTGTAACGCAATCCTAATCCTAGTTTCTTTCTTCAATTCTGAAGAGTTTTGTCACAGCAGCTCACGTTATGGCCGGAAGTATTCAATTTCTTCTTTATGATTTCAATTGTAGGAATCTCATTGTTTTTGTAACAGTCGTATATTATTTTTTTCTAATGATTTCATTAGATGAACATCTAAAGATTTTGGCAATCCCGCATCAAATCGCGTTTTGCGTTCATGAGGTTTGTTTTTGACTATTTTACGTACAGTTGAGAAAGAAATATCGGTCAAATCTGATGTTGCTTGTAATAGTTTTTTTCTCTCGGAACCAAACTTGATATGTAGATTTTTATATACATTGAAATATACTCTCTGTGTTTCAATATTCAAATGCATCCGAATTTTATTCACTGGTATCTCTTTTACGCATTGTTCACCATCGCTATTGGAATCACTACACAGGAAAAAGTCTGCGTTGTTATCACATTCGTTATTACTATTAGTACTCGTCCAAAGACGCCACATTTTGAACAAAAAACAAAAATTTTAAGTAATAATAACTTCACCATTATCGAATTTCAACACTCAAATCGCGATCAGTTCCTGAACATTGACAACATGACTCTTCTAACCATCCTCACATTCTATTGGTCACCGTAACATGACTTCAAATTTAATTTTATGACTCTTCAGCCAATCATAAAACTCGGTTAATAAAAATTATCCAATACGAACCGCCAATTCTTCAGTCCACGTGGACTGATTCATAGCGGCATTATTCCTTTGTATTGGTTTTTTTGGCCTTTGACTTCACCGAAGCTTTAAGAATTACTATATCGATTACATCGACTATACCAAATGAAATAAAATTAAAAATTTTGTTATTGCTTGCGACTTTGTTCGTGTGGTACACTGTTTTTGGGTTTCCCCAGTTCTACTACAACAGAATGTTGTAATTATTTTGATTTATAGGAAAATCAATCCACTATCACTTGAAATATAGTCCATCAAAGTTTGTGTCAAATCACCCGAATAGTATTTTTATAGAATTGAGTGTCAGCAAATGTTTTACTCGAATCTTTGAACTGACATTACCTTTTCATTTATCAATTTCTTGATATAAATCAAACACTATTGAATGTACAATTTGAAATCGGAATATTTTTTACTGTGTAGTGTAGATGATCCAAATTTTATACCCACCACAGATTAACACTTCAAACGTTCGCAAACGTTCGCAAACGTTCCACATAGCGAAAGAAACAGAAGAAATACCGACACTTTTTGATCGTTCCGCCTGCCGATGCCGATAATACACTTCATTGTTGACAAAAATAATCGCCCACAAACACATAAGACGTCATAGACATATTATGAACATGTGACATTTGAATGTAGTATCCTGACCATCATATTTCCCAGACTACGGTGAGTAGAACAGAACAAAAATTTCTTGAATTCGTAAATGTCAAAGAACTTCCCAAAGCTGGGGGATCAAATCTGAACGACGACAAGAAATTATATGTTTTATTATTTTTTGATGAAAATCCACAGACACCTACAAAAAAGTAGCTGGTGAGAATTTTGAAATAGAATAGAATAGATCAGAATGTCGACGGAATCCGATGTTTCCAAAAACATTTCTCTCGATGAGGCAACATTGGCTTATATGGAATCGCAAACAAACAGAATTTTTGGTATTGAATTACGCAAAATCCGCACTGGATGAGAGGTCACACTCACTATCATATTGAAGTGAACGTTTGGCCTAGCATAATGAATAATACAATAATTGGACCATATGTTTTTAAGGAGACAGTAACTGGGACCAGTTACTTGGATTTTTCACAGAATGTTCTAATACCTGATTCATAACAACGTTTTCATGATCGTTTCAACACCGTTTATATCAATACAAACATATTTTTCAAACAACATGGAGCTACAAAACATTATGCAGCAACAGTACGAGATCATCTGAATCAATCAAGTTTTTCCTCATCGATGGATCGGTAGACGTGGCGAAATTGTATGGCCAGTCCGTTCTTGCGATCTGACTCCACTTGATTTTTGTTCTGTGGGATTATTTAAAATAAAAAATTCACAAGAGAAAACCAACTGGTATTGATGACTTGAAATACCGCATTAGGAAAGGAATCAACCAAATCACCACAAATATGTTGGAAAACGTTGTCGAAGAATTTCAATACGTCAGGAGATGATCGGTTCATTTTATGAGCATATGCTTCAGACTGTTATAATTTCAAATATTGTTGAAAACGTTGAATAGTATTTTTATTAAACTGTACAAATTGAACATTTGAATTTTTTTCATTACCAACTTCCAATCATAGGAAAATACCATATTGCTGAAAAAAGGATTGAAACATTCTCAAACGAGGTATCATACGCTACCCCTTTCCATTTTGAATTTTCATAAGGGTAGCTATAACCCCTAGGGGGTTGATGGGGCGGTTGAATGATATTATTGAAAAAGTGTATTTTCAAATATAAAAATTAACCGGTTCAGGATTTTTCATTTGCATTCATAATAACATAGAAAATGTATTTACCCGTTAGTTTAGGACCGCACTGTACCTAGACAACATAACGTGAACTGTCAGTTGCGTTTTGTTATACCGAATGAACAATGAACGTGAGCTATTATGATGAATGTGAGCTGTCAGTTGCATTTAATTATAACACGGTACTATTAGCACCAATATATTGCCTCTTTCATTATTATTTTCATTGATGGAATATCATAATTCAATACTTATTATTCTATTCCCGACGAAGACAAATCCAAAAACACAAAATTCTTTAGAAAAAGGGTCCAGCCTTTCTTGGGTTATTTCATTAGTATTATCATTCTCATTGAAGAAATAGCATAATTTCATACTTATTATCCTATTCCCGACGAGAATAAATCCAAAACACGAAAACCACATAAATTGGTCCAACCATTCTTGAGTTTTTTATCATTTTCATCATTATTTTTATTGATTAACTATCACTTATCAATACCTATTATTCTATTCCCGACGAAGACAAATCCAAAAACACAAAAATCATAAAAATTGGTGCAGCCGTTCCCGAGTTCTTTTATTATCATTATCATTATTTTTATCGATGAAAATTTGTTCAGCCGTTCTTGAGTTCGACTATTATTAATATCATTATCATTGATAAAATATCATTCTTCGATACTCATCATCCTATTCTCGATGAAGACAAATTCAGCAACGCAAAAATCATTGAAATCTTTCCAGCCGTTCTTGGGTTCTTTCACTATTATTATTATTGATAAAATATCATATTTCAGTACTCATCATCCTTCTCCCGATGAAGATAAATTGAAAGACAGAAAAATCATAAAAATTGACAGGATCATTTTTCAATACTTTATGTCAAATCTAAAAACACAAAAATCATAAAAATTGGTCCAGTCGCTCTTGAGTTATAAATGGTGTAACTAACACGACTTTGTTTTATTTATACAGAAAATATCAATTTCGAGAATCCTATGATACAACAAATAAAATAAAGTCATACATCAAAATAGTTTTCACTCAAATCTTTTGGGCCATTCTCGAAATTAGTTCGCAGAGAAACAGAAGAAGCAGTCACAGCTATAAACTCCACATAAATTTCTAACAATCCCACAATTTACTCGTATTTGAACTCCATAGTGTTGTCAAAAAAAAAAAGGGTCATAATCATGTACTTCATGTATCAGAAATATACGTATGGAATATACAAGTAATATACACAAGAGTGCCCTAGCCATTGAACATGCGAACGACGCTCAGGGAAACAGCTGTACATGTTACCACCTTTTTGCGTCCTAGCATACCCCTCAATCTGAAGGAACTCGGGGTTTTTGATAAAATATGACTCTCCAGATTCAAAATAATAAAAGAGTTTATCATGCATTGACTCAACAGTTTTTGGCGTCAGTATACCCATTCGAATTTTATATTTTTCAGCACCGAGGATGGGGTAGCGAATTGGCACCAGAACGACTCTCTGATATTTACAATAAGCAAATCGAATTGTGGGATCAAGTTTCCAGAAGAAGTTCCTTGTCTGCATTATCTCTTGCTTCCATCACTCACAAATCTTACACGAAAGAAGAGAAAGAGGATGACAATAATAGAAAAAGTTCACCAACGAAGGCTTTTCGAAACGCAGAAAATTCTGCCAGGATGATTAGGGATATTATCCGGCATCATCTAGAAAGAACAACAGGTGGTTCAGGTAAGACATGTAATACGCAAAGTACCCAATTACCAATATTTTGTTTAGAATTTGACGGATTGATTTTATCACCAACTCGTGAGAAGCTCGAACCTACCATTCCAAGGAGAGACGACGATTCAAGAGGTTCGCAAAAAAATAGTCCGAAGAAAAGTTCGCCAATGAAATCATCTTCCCTGAAAAGGACAAATCAAAAAACTAAACAAGGTGGGCCAAAGAAACGTAAGTAACCAAAATGGGGTTACTTCTATTTTTATTTGAACGTGGATTTTAAAAATATTTGAATTTGCAGTACGGTCGCAATCTGTTGGACCGACAACTGAAACTAATGTTGAAAAAAAGTCTCCAAAACGTCAGTCTAGATCTATCGCTGCTAAGGATGGGAGAAAGTCTTCAAATGAAACGCCTTCCAACAAAAGACCTAGACCTTGTAAGCTTTAATTACGCCTTAACTTCGAATTTGAAACAGAGTAGTGGAAATTGAATATAACTCCAGAACCTCGCCTAACGAGATAGTTTTCGCTGTATCAAATTCGAACAAATAGAGAACGTACCAGTGTGTGCCAAGACTCGTGATGTTTGCAGCTTTCTTTATTTTATTATGTTGTTCTTTCTCAAACATTTTTTATGAAATCATGGCATCTCAACCTGAAAGACATTTGTTTCCTGAAGATGACAGTAATCACTATTGAAATGATTGGGATGTAGTGTTACGAGAGTACACTTTTAGGCTTGTTGCATTCTTTGAAGCAGGGATAACCCTTCTGATTTATTTTTTGATTTCCATGGAATTATTTTCCAGTAGCTCAACTTTTTTCCGATTTCATATCATTTTCTAGAAACATGCGGATTCGTTTTCCGATGGCAATCCAGGTTAGCTTCTCAAATTTCTGCTACCGCAGTTGTCGATTGATTGGTTAAACCACCAACACTGACATAAAAACTTGGCAAGTTGACTTGGGTGTCACACCAATAGGTGGTTCCACTCATGTTTTGCTTGCGTTCACACAGTTATTTTTATCAAGTACTTTTCTTGGTTTTTCACATTTTGTCTTCAACCGAGGACCGCCTGCCCGGTACTGATGATGCCCAATAGGCTAAAACAGCTGTCTGCCGGTGGCTCTTGAATTGAAATCAATATGGGAATTATCAGAATAGTACTTTTTATCTCTTGATTTTCATGGAATTATTTTCCAACAGATTGACTGCATTACCCTTCAGCCTTGGTTATTATAGTTCCGAGAATGTATGTACCTCGTGGAAAAACAAAGTTTTCTCCTAGTAAAAATGGCATAAAGAAATCGTAGTTATGTTTTGATGCCGTTATTTTCATTTGAACATATTAACACGATTCTGAATGGACTAAGCGACCGCGAACAAGTATTTTGTTTGATGTACCGCCTTCTTCTCGATCTTTTCTGAACGCGAACAAGCATACGTTCGCTCACTCGCTAGCCCGTACTCACCAGACGATTATTGATGCAGAATGCTCCTTCACTCTTGTTCGCTCGTGCTCGCTTTTTTAGTGAATACGCACATTTACACTCGACTGGCTCGGTGAGCACATAGTCACGTCAAAGTGTTCAGTCTGAACGAGGACCAACGGTGCAAAGACGTACTTGCAGACGATTGCAGTGGTTTTCTTGACATTCTGACAGCGAGGTATGTGGCATAATCGATACAGTGTCGACAAATTCCACACTCATAGCAGTTATCCATCACCTGTGTGTACAAATGCTATGTGATCGAGTTCGATGGTATATGAATACCTCTGTACCCAAGATCAAGCAGCTAAGGCCATATTTCCTTATACTTCATTACGTATATGCAATCTTTTCTCAATGTCACCATCAGACACAGTCTTCAAGGTCATAACAACGACTCTTTTTTGCTTGAGCAGCTCCTTGAAGATCCTCTCAATATCATTGTGACGCCATAGTGGTGGGATGAGGGATCAGAAATGGATGCCTTTGAATACGATGTGACTCCAATAGCGTATTTGGAGTTAGACGATGCTACGAGTTAACGGAAGAAACTTTCAAAATCGAATGTAAACTATGGAAATATAATAAAGGAAAAATGAAGAGTTTTGATACAAGACATGATTGTGTTGGAAGATTTTTTTCATTTGAAAATAACCGCATCAAATTTATGCTTATTAGCGGCGAAAATGATATTTACAAGCAGTAACTAGAATAATTACAACATTATATTTTGCTGGAAAAGTTCAGAGCACTCAAGTAATTCAAAATCTTGTTGGAATTAAAATAACCCAAACTCAAGGTTTTCTGAGTATCCTTCGATATTTTGTACATTTCCCTTTTTGATTAAAACACTTGACACTACACTATGATACGTTGTACTGTCAGTGCAAATTCACAAATGTGGCACTGTGGTTGATCTGCTAGAGATATCAAGTATTCGTGCTCCATAGTTCCATGTTCCGACTTTGGGTTCCCATTCTCTGAGTTTGAATCGAGTATACTGCCACCCAGTGTTCCACTTACTCAACAATATGTTCTTGAAGTCAAGTCAAGTAAAGTGTATCGGACTCCCTCAGGGCCTTACAACAATGTATAGCCCTCCTACACACTTGAAGCAATTATGGAATATATGAAATAGAATAGCGTTTCTTTGCAGATAGACATAATTTACAGGTTATAATAATTGAATACATATAGCAAATAAGCACAAGGATGTTCCACTGAAGTTGACAATTGTTAGTGGTTTACAAATAATACAGTTTACAAATAAAAATGTATTATCTACTACTAGCCACTAACAAGTGACAACTTCAGTGGAACATCCTTGTGCTTATTTGCTACATGTATTCAATTATTATAACCTGTAAATTATGTCTATCTGCAAATAAACGCTATTATATTCTATATATTCTATAATTGCTTCAAGTGGGTATGAGGGCTATACATTGTTATTTTCTGCGAAGGGACCCAAAATAGGATGATTTTCTTGTTGAGCATCTGGAGTTCGAAAAATCATTGTTCAATGGGAATTCCAATGGGGTGTTTAATATACATCCATTGAATGAGTTGTAAGGCCTGAGTGAGTCCGATACACTTGACTTGCCGTAGCGGAGGGCTTGAAGGATGACAAATGATTCTCCAGTTAGTATTGTTGCTGTTTCTGAAAGTTTGAAGGTCAATGCAACATGGTCATTCACTACTGCAGCTCCTACTCCGAAATGTGTATATTTCTTCAGGGTGGTCGTATTGGTCCAGGATTTGTCGAAAATTTAGTTTGATAATGTTCTTATTTGTATCTTGTTTGGGAAACTGAGATAGGAAAGTGTTCATGATAGGAGTCTGCATGAGCCATAGTGATGCAGATTTGATGCTTGTAGGATACGGGATTCAAAATGACTCCATTTGTAAGGAACTAATGTGTCGTCGGATCCTTTCGTAAAATGGAGGATCAGTTCTTGGCCGATACTTTGTTGAAAACCGATTCGTTATTGCGTTTCTGTAAGTGGGAATGTTTTTTCATAGGTGCAACTGCGGCAGCATAAGACAAACTCAACTGAGGTCTGCGAAAACTGAGGAAAGGTTCTCCTAATTCACAGTGAAGGCTTCTCACTGGCGTAGTCGTATGAACTCCTGTGATTATGAACAGTGCAGAATGATGTATTGGATCCAGTTGAAATAATGTTCTTCGTTCAGCAGAAGTATATGCAATATAACCATAATCTAAATTAGAGCGTATTTAATATATCTACAGCAGCAGCGGTGTTGAACCTCCTGCACCCTATTGTTTATGAGCTAGGTGTTTGAGTAAGTTTATTCCTTTTTGGCAGTGCATGATAGCACTGAATGTCTGATATGTAGCTTCCAATTCAATTGTTGGTCGAACATCAATCCTAAGAATTTGATGTGGGTTACGAATATACATTTTTTGCTGAACGGGTATTTTGAAGAAGTGTACAAGGTCATTGAGTTCTATTAGAAATAGAGTGAGGTTCATTATCGAGCTCTTGAGAATTCCTTCTTCTTGAATTTCATAATGTGATAATGTACCATTTACTCGAACTTGAAACTTTTTTCCAAAAGGAAGTTCTGTACAAATAAACCCCATTGTTTCAATTTGTCCAGAATATGATAACGCTACACAGTCAAGAAAGCTTTGTTGATGTCGAAATAGACCGTCATGGACTTCTGTTGGTTTGTAAAAGCCTCGTGAATAGTGTTCTCCAGGTCTATTATATTATCTAAGGTAGACATTGAACGTGTATTTGAAATTTTTTTGAGTAATTGGCACATTGTACACGTAATGGATATTGGTCGATAAGATTTTGTTTGAAGGGCTGATTCATTCGACTTCAGAATGGGGATAATTAGTGTTTGTCTCCAAATTTGACAAAATGCTCATTCGGTCCAAATTATATAGATGATTCGTAGAAGATTCTTTGCAACGTTTGGTAGGTTTCTCAAGAAGAAAGCTAGTATTTCATCTTGACCTGGGAAGGTATCTTTCATTGAGATAAGTGCTTCATGGAACTCTTCGTTAGTGATTGGTGAATTTATTGGGTCTTTATTGTCTGTTATTATTGAAAGTCTGTCCGTCTGTTTTTTCCGTTAATCAGCTGTCGCCCCCATACGAACGACAACTTTCAGAAGTTGAGAAACTTGTGCGAGCTAAGGACTAACGAGGTCTTACCTTTCAACGTGTGATTCCTAACACGGAATATTGGCGAGGATTTCTGCTCTTATTTGAATGTAATGAAGTCTTCATCGAAGTTTTCCTTGGACGAATGTTGGCCGTATTGTTGTGCAAATTCTCTAGCTACATCTTTTTTCTGAGTAATGGTTAATCCATTTTTTCAGTGTAGCCATATCATAGTTTGAATGTATACCTGAAATACCTTCGACTTTTCTCCACATTTTGGTCATTTGCATATCACTATTTTTACTTTGTGTAAAGTTTCTCCTTGATTCTTGCTATTTTTCGTGATGAGTCTCGTGTAGGGTCTGCTTTTGTGGAATTCAGTGTTGAGCACCTCCGTTTTAAGATAATTATATCTTCCTAGTGTGGTTTTGCTTGCTTTCATCGCAGTGTCACATGCTTTGTTCCACCACGGTACATGTTTGCGTTTTTTCAGATATTTTAATTGATTCATTTGCAGCATCTATAATGAGGTAGTTGCAGTTTCTAATGGTTATGTCTTTGTTATCTGAGATTTCGAATATGTAGATAGTGTTTTCAATTGAGCTTGAATACTGTTCTCATTTTGAATTTTCAATGTTCCAATTTTGGGATAGTACTCCGTCACTTTTTGAGGGAGTTTGTTTTGAATCGTGTAATATAATTATGGGATAGTGGTCGCTACCAAACAAATCGTCTAGTATTACCCATTCTATGCGTGTCAAGGTGTTGGGGTCACACATTGCTAGATCGAGTACCAATCAATTTTCAGTC